AATCCTGTTTTAGTCCTGTTTAAATCCTGTTTTAGTCCTGGTTTAGTCCTGGTTTAATTCTGTTTTAGTCTTGGTTTAGTCCTGGTTTAATCCTGGTTTAGTCCTGGTTTAGTTCTGGTTTAGACCTGGTTTGGTCCTGGTTTATTCCTGGTTTAGTCCTGCTTTAGTCCTGGTTTAATCCTGTTTTAGTCCTGGTTTAATCCTGTTTTAGTCCTGGTTTAGTTCTGGTTTAGACCTGGTTTGGTCCTGGTTTAGTTCTGGTTTAGTCCTGGTTTAGTCCTGTTTTAGTCCTGCTTTAGCCCTGGTTTAATCCTGTTTTTATCCTGTTCTCTAAACCAGGACTAAACCAGGACTAGACCAGGATTAAACCAGGACTAAACTAGGACTAAACCAGGTCTAAACCAGGACTAAACCAGGATTAAACCAGGTCTAAACCAGGACTAAACCAGGTTTAAACCAGGTCTAAACCAGGACCAGAACCAGGACTAGACCAGGTCTAAACCAGGACTAAAACAGGACTAAACCAGGACTAAACTAAAACTAAACCAAGTCTAAACCAGGACTAAACCAGGACTAAACCAGAAGAGTCACTTTGGTTCAGTATTTGGACTTGGATTTGTTCCATGTTCCACTTTTGGCCACTTTAAAGCTCCATTCTGCAACTTTTCTGTCCATGAACACATTATTGCTTTGTCTGGAATGTTCCTCAGTACGGCATTAAATCTTTCTATCTCCGTGGAGACCAAACCAGATCCAGGTCAGATCTGTGGAGAGGCCACCCGCTCACAGTCACAATGTCTGTTTTGTTTTTCGAGGTTTGTTTGAGCTGTAAAACCTCCTGGAAGTGAATACATGTAAAGTCGAGCTGTTTAAAGTCACACTGCGGAACATTTCAGGCAGAGCATTTTAAATATTTGCTCCTCGTGTTGTTGAAAGTCCGAGAAGAGGAAGTGGGTTTGGTTTCCTCAGATTTCCGGTGTTGGTTCATGACACCAGAGCAGATTGTGTCAGGGGTTTGGTGGGTTAGAACCAGGACTAAACCAGGTCTAAACCAGGACTAGACCAGGTCTAAACCAGGACTAAACCAGGTCTAAACCAGGACTAAACCAGGTCTAAACCAGGACTAGACCAGGTCTAAACCAGGACTAAACCAGGTCTAAACCAGGACTAAACCAGGTCTAAACCAGGACTAAACCAGGTCTAAACCAGGACTAAACCAGGTCTAAACCAGGACTAGACCAGGTCTAAACCAGGACTAGACCAGGTCTCAACCAGGACTAGACCAGAACTAGACCAAGACTGAACCAGGACTAGACCAGGACTGAACAAGGAGTAACAGGACTAGAGTGACAGAGAACTACAGGATTCACAGGGAGCCACAGGGAGCCACAGGAGTCACAGGGAGCCACAGGGAGCCACAGGGAGCCACAGGGATCTACAGGAGCCACAGGGAGCAACGGGAGCCACAGGGAGTCACAGGGATCCACAGGGAGTCACAGAGACTCACAGGGATCTATAGGAGCCACAGGGAGTCACAGGGATCTACAGGAGCCACAAGGAGTCACAGGGAGCCACAGGGAGTCACAGGGATCTACAGGAGCCACAAGGAGTCACAGGGAGCCACAGGGAGTCACAGGGATCTACAGGAGCCACAAGGAGTCACAGGGAGCCACAGGGAGTCATAGGGATCTACAGGAGCCACAGAGAGTCACAGGGATCTACAGGAGCCACAGGGATCTACAGGAGCCACAGGGAGTCACAGGGATCTACAGGAGCCATAGGGAGTCACAGGGATCTACAGGAGCCACAGGGAGTCACAGGGAGCCACAAGGAGTCACAGGGAGCCACAAGGAGCCACAGGGAGTCACAGGATTCACAGGGAGCCACAGGAGCTACAGGGAGTCACAGGAGTCATAGGGAGCCACAGGGAGTCACAGGTATCTACAGGAGTCACAGGGATCCACAGGGAGTCACAGGGAGCCACAGGGAGTCACAGGGAGCCACAGGGAGTCACAGGGATCTATAGGAGCCACAGGGAGCAACGGGAGCCACAGGGAGTCACAGGGATCCACAGGGAGTCACAGGGAGTCACTGAGACTCACAGGGATCTACAGGAGCCACAGGGAGTCACAGGGATCTACAGGAGCCACAAGGAGTCACAGGGAGCCACAGGGAGTCACAGGGATCTACAGGAGCCACAGGGAGCAACGGGAGCCACAGGGAGTCACAGGGAGTCACAGAGACTCACAGGGATCTATAGGAGCCACAGGGAGTCACAGGGATCTACAGGAGCCACAAGGAGTCACAGGGAGCCACAGGGAGTCACAGGGATCTACAGGAGCCACAAGGAGTCACAGGGAGCCACAGGGAGTCACAGGGATCTACAGGAGCCACAAGGAGTCACAGGGAGCCACAGGGAGTCATAGGGATCTACAGGAGCCACAGAGAGTCACAGGGATCTACAGGAGCCACAGGGAGTCACAGGGATCTACAGGAGCCATAGGGAGTCACAGGGATCTACAGGAGCCACAGGGAGTCACAGGGATCTACAGGAGCCATAGGGAGTCATAGGGATCTACAGGAGCCACAGAGAGTCACAGGGATCTACAGGAGCCATAGGGAGTCACAGGGATCTACAGGAGCCACAGGGAGTCACAGGGAGCCACAAGGAGTCACAGGGAGCCACAGGGAGTCACAGGATTCACAGGGAGCCACAGGAGCTACAGGGAGTCACAGGAGTCATAGGGAGCCACAGGGAGTCACAGGTATCTACAGGAGTCACAGGGATCCACAGGGAGTCACAGGGAGCCACAGGGAGTCACAGGGATCTATAGGAGCCACAGGGAGCAACGGGAGCCACAGGGAGTCACAGGGATCCACAGGGAGTCACAGGGAGTCACTGAGACTCACAGGGATCTACAGGAGCCACAGGGAGTCACAGGGATCTACAGGAGCCACAAGGAGTCACAGGGAGCCACAGGGAGTCACAGGGATCTACAGGAGCCACAAGGAGTCACAGGGAGCCACAGGGAGTCATAGGGATCTACAGGAGCCACAGAGAGTAACAGGGATCTACAGGAGCCACAGGGAGTCACAGGGAGCCACAGGGAGTCACTTCTGTACATTGCACAAATAACACAGTACTTCATGTTTCATGTTTTCATGTTTTCTTTCAGAGCGTGGCTCCCTGTGGACGTGCGACATGAGTGATTTTCAGAAGAGCCACAAAGACTGGACCGATGATGTCACCAGGTTTGTGGAGCTTTCACTGTCACTGTCCTCTGGACGTCTGTTTGACCTTCTCAGTTTGTGACTGATTTCCTTCTTTGAACAGAAACACTGAAAACTCTGGTCCCTGCTGCGTGTCCCTGAGAAGTGACAGTTCCAAAGGTTTAGGGGTCAGCTTCAGAGAGGCTCCTGAACACCTGAGGTAGAGTGGGACTCCAGTAGGATTGTTTAACATAAATATTTGAACTTTAAGCTGCACCGAGTCCTTTTAGATCAGTCATGTCCAAACTATGGCCCAGACAAATTTTTTTGGACCTCAGGCTTCCAGGTGAATTGGCTCAAATGACCTTGCATCAGTTCAAATTAACGTTTTACTGCAAGTTTTTTGAAAATCGACCTTGATAAAGCAAATATTTAATATTTAGTGTGTGGATTTAAGCATCTTAGTATGAATAAAGAGTGAAGACTTATTGTTTAACGTGTTAAACGTGCACAATTTTCAATTATTAACTTATTGAGCACCAGTTTACAGCCCTCGATCAGTCTTTGCTTCATCTGTGTTTAGAGATGTGGCCCTTGATGAAAAAAGTTTGGACACCCCTGTTTTAGATGTTTGTATTTTAATTCTTCGATGTGCTTAAACTTCAGTCTTCAGTGATCCTTGGTCACACTGATTTCCTTTTTTTGGCAGGAACCCTGAAAACTCTGGTCCCTGCTGTGTGTCTATGAGAAGTGACAGTTCCAAAGGTTTAGGGGTCAGCTTCAGAGAGACTCCTGAACACCTGAGGTAGAGTGGGACTCCAATGGAATGTCTGGACACTGGGATTGTTTTACATTTTACATCTGAACTTTAAGCTGCACTGAGTCCTTTCAGATGTTTGTATTTTAATTCTTCAATGTGTTTAAACTTCATAAACTTCAGTCTTCAGTGATCCTTTGTCACACTGAGTTCCTTTTTTTGCAGGAACGCTGAAAACTCTGGTCCCTGCTGCTTGTCCCTGAAAAGTGACAGTTCCAAAGGTTTAGGGGTCAGCTTCAGAGAGGCTCCTGGACACCTGAGGTAGAGAAGAATTGAAACAGATCCTATGAACACTTGGATTGTTTGAGCAAATAGTTTGTGAATTATGATCCAGAACAAGTGAAACAAGTGTCTGCTGTCCAAATCATTTCCCTTGTGGATCAGTAAAGTTTGTCAAAGGGTTTTTCACACCGACAGCAGAAGGTGCACAACAAATGTTCCATTCGAACCAAAAGCTCTTCATTTCATTGGTGTGAACACTTCAGGAGGGGCACAATGCACGTTCATACACTGTAAAAAAAAAAAAAAAAAAAAAAAAAGGCATGCAGAATTGCACTTTAAAAAAATCTGTGAAACAGCGAGACCGCGAAAGGTGAACCGTGATATAGCGAGGGACGACTGTACCACTGCACCTACAAACATCTGACTTATTCTGATTTACTGTCCACAGATCGGAGCAGAGTCCAAAGCCGCCGACACAAGATCCTCAGGCTCAGCTGGACTTCATCTTACCTCAACCCAGTGAAAGACTCAGGAGGCATCTGCAGCAGAGGTTCAGTCGTGTGTTTGAGGGCGTGACTCAAGCAGGAAGCCCCGCCCCCCTAAACCAGATCTACACAGAGCTCTACATCACAGAGGGAGGGACCGCAGGAGTCAACCAAGAACATGAGGTCATCAGCATCGAGAACTTCTCCATGAAACCAGCAGAAACGACAATCACATGTGAAGACATGTTTAAAGGGCCTCCTGACTCACAGGGGCCAATCAGGACGGTGCTGACGAAGGGCGTGGCCGGCATCGGGAAAACAGTGCTGACTCAGAAGTTGAGTCTGGACTGGGCTGAAGGCCGGGCCCACCAGGACCTCCAGCTGCTGTTCCCGTTCACTTTCAGAGAGCTCAATGTGCTCAGAGTCACAGTTCAGCCTGGTGGAGCTGCTGCACCACTTCTTCAGTCCATCCAAAGATCTCTGCAGCTTTGAAGACCTCCAGGTGCTCTTCATCTTTGACGGTCTGGACGAGTGCAGACTTCCTCTGGACTTCGGCCGAACCCGGGTCCTGAGCGACCCCACAGAGTCCACCTCAGTGCACGTGCTGCTGGTGAACCTCATCAGGGGGAGCCTGCTTCCCTCCGCTCGCCTCTGGATAACCACACGACCCGCCGCGGCCAATCAGATCCCTGCTGAGTGCGTCTCCATGGTGACAGAGGTCAGAGGGTTCACCGACCCACAGAAGGAGCAGTACTTCAGGAAGAGGTTCAGAGATGAACACAAGTCCACAGACGTCATCTCCCACATCAAGACTTCTCGCAGCCTCCACATCATGTGTCACCTCCCGATCTTCTGCTGGATCCTCTCCACAGTCCTGGAGAACATTATGAGAGAAATGCCTGAAGTTCTGCCCAAGACTCTGACCAACCTATACATCCACTTCCTGAAGGTCCAGATTAAACAGAAGAACGTCAAATACAAGAGAGAACCTGAGGCAGGACTGGCCTGGACTCCAGAGACCAGGGAGATGGTGAAGTCTCTGGGGAAATTGGCCTTTGAGCAGCTGCAGAAAGGAAACCTGATCTTCTACGAGAGTGACCTGAGCGAGTGTGGGCTGGACGCTGCAGCGGCCTCAGTGTACTCCGGAGTGTTCACACAGATCTTTAGAGAGGAGCCAGGCCTGTACCAGGACAAGGTCTACTGCTTCATCCATCTGAGTGTGCAGGAGTTTCTGGCGGCTCTTCACGTCCATCAGACCTTCTTCAGCTCTGGAGTGGACCTTCTGTCCTCACCTCACTCCTCTGAGAGTCCAGACCCTGAGGCAGACTTCTACCGCTCTGCTGTGGACCAGACCTTACAGAGTCCAAACGGACACCTGGACCTGTTCCTGCGCTTCCTCCTGGGGCTGTCTCTGCCGACCAATCAGAGGCTGCTGCAGGGTCTGCTGACTCACACAGGAAGTGACCGGGACAATCAGGAGACAGTGGAATACATCAAGGAGAAGCTCAATGGAGGTGTGTCTGCAGAGAGGAGCATGAACCTGTTCCACTGCCTCTACGAACTCCATGACCGCAGCCTGGTGGAGGAGGTCCAGAGCTTCATGAGAAGAGGCTGGCTGTGTGAGATCCCTCTGACTCATGCGGACTGGTCGGCTGTGGCCTTCCTCTTACTGTCCTCAGACTCAGACCTGGACGAGTTTGACCTGAGGAAATATGGCTGTTCAGAACGAGCTCTTCGGCAGCTGCTGCTGGTGATCAAAACCTCCACCACGTCCATGTCAGTACCAGGATTTTAATTCACAGTTCAAATTGAGTCAACACCAAACTGTGAAATGAAATGAAAGTTTTCTCTCCTCAGTCTGTCCAGCTGTAACCTGACGGAGCTCAGCTGTGCTCCTCTGGCCTCAGTCCTCAGCTCCTCCAGTCTCACACATCTGGATCTCAGTAACAACGACCTCCAGGACTCAGGAGTGGAGCTGCTGTGTTCTGGGCTGAAGAGCGCCCCCTGCAGACTGGAGACGCTCAGGTGAGGTGGTCTGTAATGGTCTAATACTGTCCCATTGTGTCCACATTAATCCCTGCTGCTGTGTCTTTAGTCTGTCTGGATGTCTGGTGTCAGAGAGCGGCGGCGCTGCTCTGGCCTCAGCTCTGAGCTCCGTCCCCTCCCACCTCAGAGAGTTCGACCTGAGCTACAACCATCCAGGACCCTCAGCAAAGCTCCTGAGCGCTCTACAGGACCAGCGCCCCCTGCTGTCTGTCAGGTGAGACCACACTGCCCAGTCACACCCACAATCAAAGGTTTGATAGTTTAGAGTTTAGAGTTTAATGTCGTAAGTGTCTGTGTGTTTCAGGTTGGATCCTGCAGGAGAACAGTGGATGGTTCCGGGTCTGAGGAAGTGTGAGTTCTGTCTTACATTTGTTTGTAGTCACACTTTAGTCCAGTTAAAACAGATCAGAGTTTGTTTCCAAGTTGTTCATAAATCTGATCCAAACAAAAAAACTAAGTTGTAAGAAAACTACAGCTGTTTTTGTTGTGCTTAGAAAGGATTCTGTAGGTCCTGTTCATGTTCTACAATTTGATGATTTCATATTTTCAGGTGGAGATATTTTTAAGCCTCCCAAACCTGCCATATTATTTTTAAGAGGTTGAATTTTTTTTAACCAGGGCTGGTCCTTCCATATCAGCAAACAAAGGCCTCGTCCACACTAGTTCGTATTCGAGTCGTTTTGGTTGTGGGTGCAGTGTTCGTTCACACTGATCCTACGGAAAATGGCCCCAGAGACGGAACGATCTGGTGTCTTCAGCTCCCACGAATTCATGTTGGTCCAGATCTGATCCTTGACTGTGTGGACGCCTGAAAACACTGATACTCTGATGCAGGAGCTCGAGTCACGTCCTTATTGGACCACGTCACTGTGACTCGCTCCTTCTGATTCTCTGGGTTCGTGACATCGATCATGTGACCCTATTGTGGAAAACAGTTTAAACAAACCAGAGACAAACGGGAAACAGCAGAGCTAGAACTACTTGCAAGTAAATGGTCCACGAAAAGACTGTTTTTATGTTTGCCATCTTCCTCGGCTCAAAATCGGCTGCTGCAACTTACTAGTGTTTCAGGTGGTTTTGCGTTTAAGGGCGAAGTAGAGTTCTATAGAGCTCCGGACCCCACGTGACTCACGATGGGCGGGCCGCCATTTTGGCAGTAAAAATGGATAGCGCCACCGCTGAAGCTTTCAAGCCATCGGAGACTCACTTTAATTCACAAGACATTGAGCTTCAGATCAAAATGAAATGGATTAAACATTGACCGTATAATGCCCCGGGGGTGTTTTTTAAAAATATTTCCGCTGAAGAAGACGTCCCAGATCCGCAGTACATCGCCAAATGAACCAAAATTGGTCCGATTGACATGCCTCTGTTTCCTGGTAGAACAGCGATACCTCCAATTATCAACACAGATGTTCCCTGTTAAGACCACGGGACATCCTCATCTCAAGAGTCATCATGAACTCGTAAAACACAAAAGCACAGGTAACAGCAGCAGCAACAGCGATAAAGAGGAGCACTAACCGGTCACCGCAGCTCAGATCCCTCAGGACGGGGTCTGCGGTCTGGTCCTTGGTCCGGAGGCTCCGTCCTCCATGTGCTGGTTCCAGACGGTAGCGAGCAAGACCAGTGCTTGATGGACTGGGTCTGAGCTGTTCCGTGTCATCGTCTGCACGCTGGTTCCGTGCAGGAAAAGCGAGAATGCACTGTGGACTACAGGTCTGGACAGTTCACTCCGGCGGTCAAGAACTGCGGCTGGTTCCGAGGTGATGCAAAGCATCCGGACAGAAGCGTGAATAGTTTGGTGGGTTATATGTTGTTCTGAGCGTCCGACCTCCGCGATCTTGGTTCCTGGGGAACGTTCTTGTCAGTCCAAGGCTCCTGACACCACTCCCCGCTGTAGCTCCTCTGAGCCCGGCCTGAACCGGAGCTTCTCCCGCTGGTTCAGGACTCTGGTTTGGATCTAGTCCGACTGTAGCATTTCTCACACTAGGCTAAAAGCAGGACATTTTTAAAGTTGAATCAATTGAATAAGCTATTGCCTATTTCCATAAAATTATTTGGTTAATTATAAGCCTAAAATAACAAATGCTGTTTGCTACTTTGGAGCCACACGTTCGCACATTGGTTCTTGCTCTGATCTTTGTGTATTACTTATCTGTATTGGAAAATTGTTGGCAAAATAATTCGGAAATGAATCGCGGCTGCGTCTGGAGAACAATCTGTTATTGCGCTGGAGTCGTACAGTGCGAGTCTGCCGATCTGCCGATTACTGCCAAAATGGCGACACCTTGTGCCTGATGAGCCGGTATGACGTCAGCGCCCGGAGCTCTATAGGTCTGTGTGTACAACCTGCAGATGTATAAAAGTTTCACATGAACCATCTCCAAGGCGACAGAAACACAGAACAGACTCACCATCAGCAGAACACCCCTCTGTCACAGAAAGAACACTCATATTCCCAGTGTTGGGGAGTAACAGATTACATGTACCGGAGTTATGTAATCAGAGTACAAATGATGAGTAACTGTATTCAGTTACAGTTACAGTTACAGTTTCAGTGAGTGGTAATTGGATTACAGTTACTTGGTTGAAATAAATGGATTACATTGCGGTATTTTCCTGTTTTCACACTTTGGGCTATTCCCTTTTTTGTTGTTTTTTTGTTGCACTAAACCAGGTCTAAAACCAGGTCTAAACCAGTTCCAAACCAGGTCTAAACCAGGTCTAAAACAGGATTTAACAGGATTAAACCATGCATTCTATCAATAATATTTTTAATACCTTAAGGAAAGTCTGGGTTTTTTACTGTCTTTTAGCAAAATAAAATCTTATGTGAAGATTTCCTCATCTTTGTTTCTGTGCAGCAAATCAAGTAATCCAAAGTATTCAGATTACATTACTCACTTTAAGTAATTTAATGGATTACGTTACAAACTACATTTTGGTGTATGTAATCTGTAATCTGTAGGGGAATACATTTTAAAAGTAAACTTCCCAACATTGCATATTCCACTGAGTCGTGTCCTTTAGTCCGACAGAAGCTGAACCGCATCAGCGTAAAAGAAGCGAGCTGTTTTTTTGAGCACTTGGTTTATGCAAAAGAGTCATGTGGTTTTAAGTTTCATTTCTGTAAAACGTAAACAAATATGCTCAAAACTGTGTGGATAGAGAAGACCTGCGGACACAGAAATGACGTGTCTGGACGCAAATCATTTCCGACACGGTGATACGGTGATTCGTTTCAGTGTGAACTTAACCTAAACTGCTGCATAGGGCCCCAAAGCCTTTAGGTGGCCCCTGAGAGCGACTCCCACACCTCATGTCCAGAACTGTTACTGAATCCCCCAAATCACCACTCAACTTCAGCACTCTGTGAAACCTCTGTGAGAAACTGATTTTACTTTAGTTTATTTTTTCTGACTAAGAGGATATTGAACATTGAGTCAGGTTTTGTTTTACGAGAACAGGCCAAGTAACGACGGAGATATGAACCATAAACCAGGACAAAATACTTTATAATAACTACACCTTATTTAGCCTTAATAAAGCATGAACAAAGACTTAATTAATAATGAACAAAGACTTAATAATGATTCACGCTTAGTAAGTCCTTAATTACTACCTTAATTAGCACTTGCACTTAATTTTCCTGTGCTGTAAATAGTTAATCATAATTATTTCATACTTAATTACTCATGAACTAACCATTTGAGCATTTATTAATCATTAATAAAGTATGAGAGAATGATTTACTAATAATGCAATGATCATTCAGGCAGCTGTTATCTGTTAAGTCTTTTTGAGAGCTTTTCTAAAATGAAGATGAATTATGCTTTATTAAGCATTTACTAAGCGTGAATCATTATTAATTAAATCTTTGTTCATTATTAATTAAGTCTTTGTTCATGCTTTATTAAGGCTAAATAAGGTGTAGTTATTATTAGAGCTGGTATCATTAAGAAGTTGCAGATACGATACATACCTCGATACAAAGGCCACGATACGATACATATTTCGATACGGTGCACTTTCGATTCATTACAATATATTTCAAATCGATTCGATACAGTTCAATAAAAATAAAGGCTAAATCATGTCTGTGATACTAAAAGTCTTTGTTCAACCACTTTTTGTGCAAAGTTCATATGAAACACAAAGATTTTATTCATTAAAACAGTGAAAATGTCAAATGTCTTGCATAAAAAAGTTTCTTTCCTCTAAACAAGCACCAAAACTGTAGCACTGTAACAAAATAATTTAGTAAAATATGCCAAAAAATACTCTTGGTGATATATTGATACAGCAGCCCACGATATCGATACTGTATCATCACATTAAGCGATACGATATATCGATATTTCAATATTTTTGCACACCCCTAGTTATTATAAAGTTTTATCATATATATCTATTCCACCACAGATTTCTGACTTCAGTTTTGCACCAGAGGGATTCTAGAATGTTCTTCTGTTGTCGCATGAACTCAAACTGTTGTTGTGGATTTGATTTTAACCAATCAAGTGGAGCCACTTCTATGTTACAATTTGTTTTTGATGTTTGTTTCCTTCAGATTTGTGTGACGTGTCTCTGGATCCAAACTCAGCTCACAGGAGACTCGTGGTGTCTGCAGACAGACTCACAGTGACACATGAGGAGGACGAGGAGCAGGAGGAAGAGCAGAGTCCAGATCATGAGGACAGGTTCCTCCTCTGGCCTCAGGTCCTGAGCTCGTCTGGCCTGAGGGGGCGCTGTTTCTGGGAGGTGCAGTGGAGGGGCTGGGTGGACGTGGCAGTGACGTACAGACCCACAGGAGACACAGAGGAGAAGTTTGGACAGAGTCATCAGTCCTGGAGTCTGAGGATTAATGACACAGGGTTCTACGCGTGTCACGACAACACAGAGACCTTGGCCATGTCCCACAGCTCAGATGAGACGGCCGTGTCCTCAGATAAAATAGGCGGGGCTTCGGGCGGCGTGGGCGTGTACCTGGACTCGGAGGCTGGCTCTCTGTCCTTCTACAGGGTCTTCTCTGAAGGAGGACTGTTCCATCTCCACACCTTCAGCTCCACCTTCACAGAGCCGCTGTGTCCGGGGTTCGGCCTGAGCGCTCCAGGCTCCTCTGTGTCTCTGATAAACTGAACATGTCATTCGTTGTTTTGCCGGTGGTGTTAGTCCACTTAATTTAGTGATCTATTCTGAGCTTTTAAACATGTTATAGTTGTTTCCCTTCACACTGATCCTCTGCACAGAGAGTGATACATGCATGTTTGAGTCTTTAATCTCCTGTATTTAAGTGTGAAGTTACATTTCTATTTTTCTTATATATGTGTATGGTTCAGCAGCATCGTGTAGTCAGTTTTGCACAAATAAAAAAACAGTAGAGTAATGTGCAGCAGACAGGAGCAGACAGTGTGTGGCTCTTTGTTGTGATGAGAGCAAAATCATTTTTTAAAAGTTGTTTTAGATCAATATTGCAATTTAAAGTGATAACAAAATGACCCATGTGTGTTATAGATTATTATGGAAGCCCTGAGAGGCAAGAGAGAGAGAGAAAAAAGAGGCAGGTCATTTGGGCTCTATTTTCTAAGTGTGTTTTTTTTTCACCAAGTCACCAAAAAAACAACAACCAAGTGTTTTTCCAGTATGTTACTGTAAATACCAAACTTCAGTGCCGGTGGACCAGTGGAAGATTAGCTCATGGTGTTAGGACGTGGGCAGCTGAGAAAAATTATAGCTTTTTTTATTTTTAATTTTTTTGTGGAAACCGAACCGTCTCTTCACTGAGAGGCTCCTGGCCAAGTGTTCATGATGAAGCTGTAAACATGCAACTCTAATGCAAATATTGTTTTATACGTTTAAGCCAAAAATAAACTAAAATAAAAGCATGTTTGTGTGTGTGTGTTTATTGTTTACTCTGAGTGGACTTGTATCTGTGATGGAAATGTATATAATGGAAAGATTTGTCTCAGTGTTTCTTTGTGTAAATGAATGTGAGTTCCACTTTAGACTCAGAGCATCATGAACATGTGTAAATGTAACAGGAGTAATGGTATCATCCTCTGCTACTTTAATGGGTGTGGTTTTTCATTGTGTTGTTTTTTTGTTTTTTTTTTGGAATGGGTCAATGGCCACATCATTGGCAGCTGGGGGCCTGTAGACCTTCTCTCTCTCTTCCACCTGGTTGTCGTCTGTTCGTGGATGCAGTAAATATATTGAAGGGGTTAAGGTTAAATTGGTTTTAACTCGTTTCATTTAGTTTTAATCGTTCTCTCTCACACCTGCTTATCCTTTGTTCGGAAGGTGGGAAGTTTGAAGACTTATCGGCAGTGTTGGGGAGTAACAGATTACATGTACCAGAGTTATGTAATCAGAGTACAAATTATGAGTAACTGTATTCAGTTACAGTTACTGTTTCAGTGAGTGGTAATTGGATTACAGTTACTTTGTTGAAATAAATGGATTACACGGCGGGATTTTCCTGTTTTCACATTTTGAGCTAAACCAGGACTAAAACCATTACTAAACCAGGAATGAACCGTGAACTGTGTGTGTGTGTGTGTGTGTGTGTGTATATATATATATATATATATATATATATATATATATATATATATATATATATATATATATATATATATATATATATACACATAATGTTTGTTGTTTGTATGTAACGTGTATTTCTGTATAAATCCTCAGAGCTCAGATGTTCTGGAGATGGAGAGAAGGTCTGAGGTTGGAGGGACATGCTGCTGTTGGTGTCTGATCAGTGCAGGTCTAGACCTCGTCCATATCTACTGAAACAAAACTAAACCTTTCTCTGTATTCCAAAAACTCATCGAGCTTCACAAATGGATTAATTATTTATCATCAAGAGATATATCATTTTTTCCACACACTGACTCGTGTTTGGCCTGGAGAAGAGGCTCTTCTCCTGCTTTTTTTTTTTTTTTTTTTTTTTTTTTTTACAAATGCCAGGACTTTTAGATTACACCAGGTCTAAACCAGGTCTAAACCAGGACTAAACCAGGACTGAACCAGGACTGAACCAGAACCAGGACTAAACCAGGACTGAACCAGGACTGAACCAGGACAGAACCAGGACTGAACCAGGACTGAACCAGGACTAAACCAGGACTGAACCAGGACAGAACCAGGACTAAACCAGGACTAAACCAGGACAGAACCAGGACTAAACCAGGACCGAACCAGGACTGAACCAGGACTGAACCAGGACTAAACCAGGACTAAACCAGGACTAAACCAGAAACACAGTGTAATAAAAACACTAAAGTCTCTCTCAGTCTGGTCCACGTCTAGTATATTTCTCCCGTTCGTCGTTCATTTGATTCTCCTGATCCGCCTGGAAAACTCCAGAACGTTAAAGGTTGTATGGAGGATTTTTTTGTTTTTGTTTCAAATTGTCAGTGAAAGTTTAAAATACCATTACAGAGACGCAGCAGCTTTGGAATTATGACGACCAAAAAAAAAGAATGAAAATCTACCAACTGAGGATGTAGTGAGGCCAGATAAACATCAGCCAATAGAAAACAAGGCTGCCTCATTTTCTATTGGCTGTCAGGTTGTCAATCAAAGTGACTCGTCGGCGCGCGATCTTCATTCTTTTTTTTTTTTGGTCATCATAATTCCAAGGCTGCTGCGTCTCTGTAATGGTATTTTAAACTTTCACTGACAATTTGAAACAAAAAAAATCCTCCATACAACCTTTAAAACCCGGTGCAGGACTCCGACTCACAACCACTGAGGTTCTGAAGAAATAAAGCAAGAGACGAGGGTGAGACTGATAAACGTTTTATTGTTGAGGTCGTAGCTGTTGACATGCAGCTGAGCCAAACACGGACGGGGGCGGGGCTTAGAGGTAGAGAGGGAGGAGCTTATGCATATACGGGGGCGGGACTAAGAGGTAGGAACAGGAAGTGAGGTAGGGGCCTTCTCCACCGTCCTTAGAAAAAACTCGTCGTAGATCTTGCATTAATTTAGTATTTTTGACCCTGTTTTTAACCAGCGTTCTTAACCTTAAATGTTTAAAGTTCATTTTTATCATATTTAAAGGGCAAGTTTTAAAATACAATATTTTCTATGTTCTAAAATCGTTTCCTCGTCACAAAAACCTGGAGTTGGGTTTTGTTTCATTCACACACATTTAACACCCCGTTCCACCTTGTGATGTCATGAGGTTACACAGAAAACAGAGGAACCAAGTCGTTGTTTTTGGGAGCCTTAAGTCTTTGACCTCGAGTCCGAGTCAAGTCCCAAGTCAAACGCAAACACAGGCAAGTCCAAGTCGAGTCTCAAGTCACTGGAGCATAAATCCAAGTCAAGTCCAAGTCGAGTCTCGAGTCACTGGTCCATAAGTCCAAGTCAAGTCCAAGTCAAGTCTCGAGTCGCTGGTCCATAAATCCAAGTCAAATCCAAGTCGGGTCCAAGTCGAGTCTCGAGTCACTGGCCCATAAATCCAAGTCGAGTCCAAGTCGAGTCTCGAGTCACCGGCCCATAAATCCAAGTCGAGTCTCGAGTCACTTTGGAAAATCAATCTGTACCTCGTATCCATTTTTTACTCTTGTCAATGATGTTTACTGGGTCCATCAAGCCTCTGAAGTTTAGTGTCTGCAGAAGATTTAAATCTGAGATGAAAAATCTGTTTCTCTTTAATAACATCAAAAATAATTCATTTAGCCCAATAGTATCAATGCAAGTTAAATATAAATATGAACATTGTGGATCATTTGGTTCAGTTTTATGTCTCTGTCACCATTAGTTTCTGAGATGTAGCAAACATCTGATTTCTTTGGGACTTCAAGGACCTTAAACAAGCAATTATTATAAAAAAAATAAAAAAATAAATAATAATAATAATGATAATAATTATTATTATTAATAATAATAATAAAAAAAATATATATATATATATATATATATATATATATATATATTATTTTTTTTATCTAAAAACAAACAAAAAACAAAAGCATTATTTTTAAGTTATTTGAGAAAAACTGATTTTTCTGCCAGATTCTCATGGACACTGTTAGGATGGAACTTAAGAGTCTTGGTGAACCCAGTAGATTTTATTCAGTTGGGCAAATATTCCACAGATTTTCTTTTATTTGGTTTTGTCACATTTTAAAGTTGGGGACAAGTTGAATTTCTGACATTTGGGCCAAATGATGCAGCCTAAAAAATCTGATTTGGGTCACTTCAGGCTGCAGTCTGAGCGGAGCCTTAGTCTATTTTATCAAGTCAAGTCCAAGTCACAACTTGCAGGTCCCACTTCTGCCTGGAAGTGCTCCACCGTGTTTTTAAACTCCACACACCTTCACTAGAATCTCTGGATAATTTCAACCCCGGAATCGCCATTTTCTACTGATTTAAAGGTGAAAAACATGAAAACTCCCGCTTCATGACATCACAAAGAGGAAAAGAGCGTTTGGAGCTTTGGAGATGTAAACAGACGAATAATAAAGTGTTACTCAAACATGTGAATGAAACAAAAACAAAACTCCAGCTCTGTTCTCGAGTAACAACATTATAACCCGTCTTAACCCTCACAAGAATCCACTTTGCGTAATACAGAACCTTTATCGTGTCTTCAGATCGTCCAGTTTTTGCGTAAATTTCACTCCGATGCGTTTAAGAGACACTGCACCTCAGCCGGACACCAGGGGGCGCCGTGCTCTTCCCAGTTTGATTCAAAGTTTGTTCAAAGACACAGTATATTCTGAGGTTCTGGAGTCTCAGCAGGACTTTACATTCAAGACACAACGGAAGAACAGACTGAAGGGGGGATATCAGGTAGGACATTGGCACAAAATGACCAAGAAATCTGTTTACATTTATAATAACTTCAGGCTTATGTGTAGAGTAAGAAACATTGCAGAGAGATCAGTCAGAATGAGAGAAAATGACAAAAAAGTAAATTACAGTTTGCTCTTTCAAAGGTATGGAAACCCTGAGCGGCAAGCAAAAAAAGAAAAAAGAAAAAAAAAGAAACATGAAATTTGGACTCAATTTTTTTTTCATTAACAGCTCCCAAAGAAAAAAAAATAAAATAAAATTCTTGCCCTTTTTTTTTTTTTTTTTTGCACCAACAACTCAAAAAAAAACCCCAAAACATATTTATATTCAAATTCATACATATTCACCTGTGCTGAACTTTGGTGTTTGATTTTCAATTTTTTGTTTTCATCAAACACATCAACAGTATAATAAAAAAAATAAAAATAAAATAAAAATACTGCTGGTACACAAAAAAAAGCCCAAATTATTTTTTTTCCCCCACCAACAACTCAATAAAAAAATAAAATAAATAAAAATAAATAAATAAATAAAATCATAAAAAATTATATTCATCATCCGGGAAAACTCTTGCTCTGGAGTGTTTGATTTTAGATTTTGTTTTGTTTTTTTCATCAGCCACATCACCAGTAAAAAACAAAACAAAAAACTGTTGGTACAAAAAAAAGAAAAAAGACTTAGAAAATGGAGCCCAATTTTGCACCAGCAACTCAAAAAAATAAATAAATAATACAATTATTATTATTATTAATAATAATAATAATAACAATATACTGGGAAAATACTTGATTTTAGATTTTTTTTTTTTTTTTTTTTTTTTTTTTTTTGCTCTGGAGTGTTTGATTTTAGATTTTGTTTTGTTTTTTTTTCATCAGCCACATCAACAGTAAAAACTAAAAACTGTTGGTACAAATAAATAAATAAATAAAAAGACTTAGAAAATGGAGCCCAATTTTGCACCAACAACTCAAAAAAATAAAATAAAATAAATTAATAATAATAATATATACTGGGAAGATACTTGAAAAGGC